CCGGCCTCTGCTCGTGGCAGCCTGCTGTCACCTCCCCTTCTGGCAATGGGGAATGGACTCTCGGACCAGACGCCCATCCTCTCCAGCCTACCTTCTTTCCAGAGTTTCCACATTGTCATCTTGGGACTGGACTCCGCTGGAAAGACGACCGTGCTCTACAGGCTGCAGTTCAATGAGTTCGTCAACACTGTCCCCACTAAAGGATTTAATACGGAGAAAATAAAAGTGACGCTGGGCAACTCTAAAACGGTCACTTTCCACTTCTGGGATGTGGGCGGCCAGGAGAAGCTGAGGCCGCTGTGGAAGTCGTACACGAGGTGCACCGATGGCATTGTGTTTGTGGTGGACTCTGTCGATGTCGAGAGAATGGAGGAGGCCAAAACAGAACTTCATAAAATTACTAGGATATCTGAAAATCAAGGAGTGCCTGTCCTTATCATTGCTAACAAGCAGGACTTGAGGAACTCTCTCTCCCTTTCCGAAATTGAGAAAATGTTAGCAATGAGTGAGCTGAGTTCTTCGACTCCTTGGCATTTGCAGCCTACCTGTGCAATCATTGGAGATGGACTCAAAGAGGGACTGGAGAAACTACACGATATGATAATCAAGCGAAGGAAAATGTTGAGGCAGCAGAAAAAGAAGAGATGAGTTATATTTTGACCTTTCTATTTTAGAGTAGGTTACATGGTCAAAATTTGACATAAGACAGCTTCCAAACTCAGGCCTGCGTGTTTGGATGCCGTTAAGCTTAGTTATATTAAACAATCAGTTGCACAACCTTGCCGTGTGGAAGGCTGTGCAGTTATAGAACTCTCTCTCTTTTTTTTTTTTTTTTTTTTTTTTTTAACTTTTTTTTTTTTTTTTTTTTTTAAACTAGTCTCTTCTGAGTTTTATGGCTCTGCATTATTTCAGAAGCCCTAATAGATGATGTAATACTATCAGGAAATGGATGGGTGGGTATATGTGACATGGATGTCTAAATAGCCAAATAAAATGAGGGTTTTCTGCTTAGTGTTGTATTCATATGTTTGAGGGTGCCCTCTGCAAGCAGTTTGCATTGAAGGTGTTCTGTGTTTTTAAACTTCTGATGCTCGTAAGTGGAGTGTTTAGGTGAACATTATACAGCTTTAAAAACATGTATGAAGCTAGTAACTCATTATTTCGAGAGGCTGTTTCTTATCTTGTTTGGGGATTACTATGAAAGCTTGGCTACCTGTGTAGTTCTCTTTTAATTTGGCACTTTTTGAAATTTAATTGTTCAGTTCAAATACTTGAAATTTCAAGTGCTGTGGATTCTTCAACTGATACGAGAGAGACTTTTTAATGAGTAAAAAAATGTAAACAACACGCTGGAGCATGGAAAAATGGTTTCCGAAGCATGTTTTTGGTATGTAAGGTTTTTATTTTTTAGAAGTAGCCATTCATCATTACACAGTGCTGATCAGGTTTAAACTGTTACTCAAAGTTAGTAATTTATTTCTGAATGATGAGTATTATGTCCTCCTCCTATCAAGTTAAAAGTAAATTAATTGCAGTAAAGGAGCTATAAAGAACAACTCTGGCGGCTGTGGTTCTAACCAGTGCAACATTCTTCACTCTACTGGTGACTTTTCTGGCAATAAAACAAAATTATAATGAAGTAAAGCTGGAGTTAAAATTAGCAGAGCACATCTTGTATCTCCCCAAAATACCCCATTTTATTAAAGTGGTATTGCTATGTCACTTTTAATGTATGATTTTTTTTATTGTGACTCTTAAAGTATTTTGTGGTTAGGAATGTAATAATGCTTTATACACTCAAACATTTGACACTACCGGGGCGGGGGTGGGGGGGAGTGGGGGAAGAAGATTTTCAAGATGGGCCTGTGTTCTGCTTTAATTATGCTTTAAGCTGTTCTTGTTTACATAGTGTGCAAACAGTGTTAACTGGGCAGGATAGTGCTTGACGGAAAAGGGAGGGTAGTTTTTTCTTACTGGTACAGAACTTCAAGTGACTCTTTAGATACTTGGCTCCAGTTAAAAGGGCTAAGATAGAGCCTGGGTTTTTAAGACTAACTTTAGTGGTGCTGTAAAAATTCATCAGAATGTTAGATTCTCTTTAAACTTTTGTTGGAAATACCAGATTAAAAAAGAAAAGTGTATATATAAAACAAAGGCAAAATCTATTTCCTCCTCTTACTTAACCAGCAAAGTAATTAATTTTTCTTACCTGCTGCCATGTATCGGGAGGATGACAGCTACAAACCTGAATGTCAATCGATGTAACTTAGATACGTTTAAAAAAAATAATCAAACTTTTTAACCAGCAGCTGTTCATCCAGGAGGTAACCAAAAATGCACTTTAGTGTCTTCAATAACTGAAAGTGACAGCTGTTTTTTTAATGACATCTTGGTCCTTTTTGAATAAACTGAAGTAGCTTCCAGTGGAGCTTTTGTATGTTGGTTATATATGTACCTGCACTGGTGACATTGTAAGTCACTTACTCAAGTAATGTCTATATTTATAGAAATGTGGATGACTTCTTAAACCTCAATAAAGAATTCAAAACAAGCCTGCAGAGAGAAGGTGTCTAACTTCTTGTACTGCAGTGGTACGTTCTCATCAACCTCTGTGCACATATTGATTCTAGTAACAGTAGAACTACTGCTGCTGCAAACCGAAGTCTTATAAATGTGGTGAGGCTCGTAAATGTCACAGTATTATAAATTGCAGGTATCTCATTAAAAACTTTAAATCAGTGGCATGTCTGTATGTTAATGGAAGAAATATTAGCTGCAGTGACACCTTTCTGAAGTGATGGATCTTGCATAATTTGAAGAAACTTTTATATAGCTGAACCTATTTTGTGTTACATGCAATGTTTAATAGGCGATGTTGGGCATTTATCACATGTACCCGCAGATGTTACTTAATTTAGTATCTCCAGGCTCATATATTTGAAGCTGTCTGAGGGATTCACGTGTACTTGGCTGAATTTCCTCCTCGGATTTTACGGCACTAAGTAGAATGTGGTAAGAGATGTAGAAGCTTCTTATTAGTTTCTAGGACCCCAACATAAACCAAGACAAACCTCATTTAGAAGCCTGCAAATCAAAATGGTGAAGTTTGAACAAGAATGTACAATCCTATCTCTCAAAAACCTGGTATTTTCATTTCTGTTTATGTAACTGATGGCACATCAAAATGTAGGTTACTAACAGCAGTCTTGAGAAAGCTATATGAGCGATGCTGAGCCCTGTTAATTTGGGGTGTAATTGGTACAATCTGGCTAATGTTTTCCTTCCTATCAGGTGCATAGTGCTACTAGGCTGAGGAAGGTGAGATGGCAGGCTGGCTCTTTGTACTCTGTAAACAAACTGTACAATAGCAAGTAATAATTGCTTTGTTTTGAGTATTCATTAAGCTTCTATTGGGAATAGTTGACAAGGCATCCTGCTTGAAAAAGTCAACTGTATTTTGTTCTGCATATTAAACATGCTAGTGTTTATATGGTGGCAGTCTCCCTAAATTCTTCTGTGTATAAAAACTTCAGTGAATGATTTTAAGTACAAAGACATGACTGATCTGTACTGTAGCATGCCGAGAGGAAGAAGCGGGAGGTGGTGGAGAGCAGTGTTTCTAAAATGCTGTGGTTGTTATCACATGATGTTTAATATTGACTTGGAAGTAGAAAACTGAGTGGGGGCTGAGTTTTATGTTCAAGCTATACCTTTATCTGTACTAGGACTGTTTGGCTGGAATATTACAGTAACTGTTCTGAGTAAAAATATACAAATGTTGCTGTACCTCTGAAACTGTGTTTTGTATTACTGTGACAAAGTCTTCAACTATTAACAAAATGGTGATTGCAGTAGAGCATTTGGTATCTTAGCTGATCAAATTTCTGCTGGCGTGGTTCCGTGAGCCTGAGATCACTCTCTTCCATGTGATGAATTGACAGTTCTGGCCTAAACACTAGTATGTGTAAGAAAATCTTTAGAGAAGCTGAGTAAGCAGGTGTAATTTTGCGTAACTGCAGCATTGTAACAACTTGAATTTTAAAATAATTTTTGCTAAAATGGGCTACGAATGACACCGTTCTTCAAGGCACTAGGTAAGTTAAATATCTTAAACTGCTTCTACATTAATGAAATTGCATATAAATTGTGTAAAATTGCATCTAAATCAGTGCAGTGCTGTTAACAAATGAACTACAAGGCCTTGTAACCTTACCACTGTTGTCTTAGCTTACAAAAGTTGGTATGGCATTGCCTTAGCTGTTTATGCACAGGCAATCGTTTAAAGTTAACCAGGCTTCAGGATCTGGTCTCTGGTTTCCAGCTGCGTAGCTGTGCGTTGGCTTATTACCGTTTTGGCTAGAAAAAGTACTGCAGGACAGCGAGAATCCTTCAAGTTCATGACATTGCTTTTAAGTTGTGTTGCACTGAATGTGCATTTACATTTGAAAAAAAAAAAAAAAATACTGGTTTTCAATCAGGTGATAGGTGAAACCTTTCTCTCTTCAAATTTTCATGTTTTGTTGAGACACGACTGATGCTTTGTGTGGAAAGCAGGACCCACAGCCAGGCCACAGTTCCCAGCCTGACTTCGAGAGGTGCTTCCGTGCCCCCTTACGCAGCACTTTGGTCCTGCGGGAGTTTGTTGCCCGGGTCGCAGTGGCTGGAGGAGCTGAAAGCAGCCTTCTCGGGGGGAGGCTGGCTAAGCCCGTCTGCACCCCAGCAGGTCTGCGTGAAGGCAACTCTGCCTTCTTGGGGGGCCTGCCTGCATCTTGGATCGTTTGTTTACTGATAGTGGGGTGTTAATCAGTGTCTGGCTGAAACTTTTTGTTGAGAGGAGAGATTTGTTCTTGGCATGGGAGGAGGTTTTAGATACTACGAAGAAGGAGTTGGTAAGGCGGAGTATGGAAAACGTAGGCAATCTGGGTACACTATAGATAGGGCACTGACCCTAACATGCGGTCTTGACTCAGGTCTTGACTCAGCTGTGTGGACTGCAATGCATGAAGGCTAGTAGATGTCTACGCATAATGCTATCTTCCTTTAACTTCTTTTGAGGGAGAAATCTAGGAGTGAATGGGTGCTTTTCTGGATCTGTGTTTTCATTTTACTGATGGGTGACTCGTCTTTTGAGAGGATTGCAGCTTACAGCCCGGCTCTGACAGCCGTAGCCTCCTGCCTCTGAGCCAAAACGACTCCTGTTGCCGCTGGAAGTGATGTGTAGGGAGCTGTGAATGGGCATCGTCTCCTGTTTGTTTACTCTGGACATGAGGAAAGCATTTTATTTTATTTTTAATCCTGACTGCCATAGGTATGTGAAGGCCTGCCCCTCTCATGCCGCTCTGCAGGCTGTGATTATTTTTAGGAGCAGTGCAAGGCTGCAGAGCTGTGTGGATCAGCTCCTGCCAGTGTTTTTAAACTGAAGGGAAATACACGGGCTGACTTCGCAGCAGCGTGACGCCTGGGGTTGCCACATGGGCTCCCCCAGCTGTCCTACCTATCTGAGGACAAAACAAAGGGGCGATACATGGCTGGTAGCTTGCCCTTCTTTAAAGCATTAGTCAGTCTTCTCAAGCCAGCTGTAAGGAAGCAAAAATGCAGTTTCAAAGACCTAGCTGGAAAAAAAAGAAATGGCAAACAAGCTAGTGAAGGACTTGAGTTTCCTCCCTGCCAGTGTCCTGTTTCAT